GAAAGCCGAATTTTGCTTTGGCACAAATTTGAATAAAGCTTTGACTGTTTAAAACAAATTATTTTCATTCCTCGGCCAAATTGAACAAGCCACCTTGAAGCAAGTTTCCATTGTCTCCTCTGCTTCATTGTTGACAATACTAATAATATAGTTGTTCGCAGTAATTGCCTTCTTAATAAATGATCATAATTAACTTTAGTAATTGCCAACTCTTTAAGTCAAATGCATATTAATATATAGTTATTAATATAAACAATATTGAGAATCTGTAATTATTGCCATAATCACTTTTCCTCTAAAAATAATATGGCAAAAACTATAACTGATAATTTCTCCACCATTCCTACAATTACCCTAATTATCTTCCTCAACAACAACAGCACATGATGTCAATTACTCACTATACTAATACCAAATTCTTTGACTATGAAGCACTTTAATAATATTAATTGTCTTACTAATCATTTTTCAAAAGCTCGCACTGCTAACATGAAAGGGACATATTGATGGGTTCACTTGAAAAATTTGCAGAAATTTTTCTTAAATGGTAAGGAAATTAATAAATAAATGAATTATTAAACATTATATTTATAAAATTTATTTGTCTAGGGGGCAATTTGCAAGTAATTCATCATAATTTCGAAAAAAAAACATGGAAACAAGCCAGATGCTACCTTAAATTTAATACTTGTGTCAAGAAACTTATTGGAGATTGGGTTTTGTGAAGCTTTGGGTCCACCTTCAGGTGATACTTTGGACAAATATAGAGATGATTACAACAAATTAGTACGATTTGGAGTGGATAGTAAAATTAGATTCCTTAATTATTTATTAACAATTAGTAAGTCATACTTGATAGAAAATTTAAAGGATGCCTTGAAACTTCCAGTTTTACTTATACAATGGAAAGGTTAAGTTATATAAAATTATTCTTAGTTTGTAATATTACATCTTAAAGATTAAAACTATTTTACTATTCAACAACCCGTCAAACCAATGGCCCCACCTCAAAACCAATGGGTTTTTGCTAGTATAAAGTATTCATAACGTTATGATCATACCGTACTGGATTTTGGGGTTCAAACAAAATCAGTGCATATGAGAAAACAAAAGTCTGCAAAAAAAAATTTTTTCGAACCCTGCAATTTATGTTAACTTTGTCTGGTTTTATCCCATTTACAATTTTCATGGCAAGTGTTATATTATCATCTGTTTCTTTATTGGTGGGTTTTCCTTCCTTTACAAAATTCTATACAATGCACAAGTAAGCGTCATAATAAAATTAATTAGTAAATGTTTTGGTGGTTAATATAATTTTTTTATAGATGGGTATATTTGTATGCAGTATATGATCAGACCACTTCTGTCTATTTATTTATATGAAGATTTGGAACAATCAAACTCCTACAACATTTCACGATATGGAATAATTTTCTGAAGATATAACTATTCTAATGAATTTCCAGGTAACAAATTAATAATAAATATTTTGCGAATTTAATTTCATGGTATTGATTATATGATAATTGTCTTTTATTATTACGGGCAGATGTTCTTAAAGCGCAAGTCTACCAAAAAAATTTGTATATAAAACACAACAAGTCATTTATTGATAAATAAACAACACAAGTAAAGGAAATTTTATTGAATACGAGCATAAAAAAAATATGCATTTCAAGAATTGCATTGGTTATAACATTGATTGCCGATCCTTTTAAAAAATAGTATGTGGAAATTTTAAATCTCACCCTCTCACAAAGGTAAGAAGTATAATATATTTTTTTTTGTGGTCATGTAGCATTTTTTGAGAAGCAAGCACTTACACTTTTATCTGGTTTGGTAAATCATTACAAATTTGGAAATAATTTCCCAAATATATAATTTTCCAATTTCTATTTAGAACGCGTGAATTCTTTCATTTTTATTGTTATGTAACCAACCACCGCACATAAATAATAATTATTAACCCCCAATTTCTTTCATATGTCAAGGGTTCTACTAGGAGTTACTTTGATATTAATATTAATGCCTGCTACAATAGCAATAGTAATATTGTGATACTAGGAAATATTATTATTGGTAAAAAATTAAAGAATTTTGATATTTTTTTTGTTCTAGAAAAAATTTTTTTTTTGAGGTTTTTTTTTTTCTTTTTAAAAAAAAATTTTTTTTTAAAGAAAAAGAAAAAAAACTTCCTTCTACTAATTAATAATTAATTAATTAAACATAATTTATAAATAATTATAAATAATTATATTGTTATATAATTCATATATATATATATACATATATATATTGTAATAATATATATAAAGAAAATAAATGGATTCTAGAAATGTGTCTTTAATTGTCGAAGATTTATCTCCCCCTTCCACTACAATCTCTAATTCTACTACAACTACACCCAGAACAACATCTCCATCTCAAACCACCGCAGCCTCTGAACTTGTTCATGCTCACATGCTGAATTTATCCTTGTCACCTAGCAGCAACGACGATAACAATACTAGAAATTTTAATAATAATGGCGCATCTATTTCTCAACAATCACAACAACCAATAACTTTTGTATTTGAAAGATTCTGTCCTGGAGGTCTTTCAAAATCTGTTTCTTTAAACTCTCCATCACCATCACCTAGACCTAATTATCAGACTGAAGATAATAATAGTAATATGGTGATGATGAATACTGATATTATGGAAGTTACAAATTACATTAATAATATTAATAACAGCAACAACAATAATCATAATCATATTAGCGGTAATATTATTAGCAGCAATAACAATAATATTAGTAATAATAACAATAATATTAGTAATGTTACTACTACTGCTGCTAAGAAGAATAATAGTATTCATAATACCAATGTTGTCACTCAAACCAATGATAAAAGGAATAAAAAAAATAACAAAAGAAAACAAGTTTCTTCATCTTCTACTACTTCATCAATCTCTTCGTCCTCATATAGACTACCAATTAATATTGATTCACCTGTTTCTTTGAATTCTTCAAATAGAGAGGATGATTCAAAATCTGAATCGGAATATGATGATAACATGGATATTTGTAGAAGTGAAGTTTGTTCTGTATGTAAATTTTATTTTGTTTTTTTTTGGGAGTGGCAAAAACTTCCATGTCTCATACTTAATATCTTTAATATTTTTAGGAATATGATATGGAAGAATCAGCGGTGGAAGGATTGAAAAGATTATTAATGAAGTTTACAGCAATGACTCCTACAAGACTTCAATCAATTCTGTCAATATTATTGGATAATGATATAGATGATGCTGACATATTGTTATTGATAGATAATGAACAATTTCTTCATACTCTTCGTGGTAAAAATGGTTCAGAAATTAGCCGGGGTAATTGTTTATTACTTTGGCATGGGATACAAGAATATCGTAATTATTATTATTCCACTACAACTACACTTCATCACACTCCAAAATCTTTTTCTTCTTCTTGTTCATCAATAACTTCTTCTTCCTCTGTCTCATCTATATCATCTTCTTCTTCATATTATTCACCACCTCCATCATCATCTGCATCTTCTTTTTCATCTATGTTATCATCTTCATCACCTTCATCATCAAGAGCAATTGTTAATCATGATCTGACTGCTTCAAGATTATTAAATCCCCCAAAATCAAAAAGACCAAAATTAGATCATCATCATCACCACCATCACCACCATCATATAAATGAAAGAGATGAATTTAGGCACAACAACAACAACAATGATGATGATAATAATAATAATAATAGATCAAACATTAATATTATTGGTGGTAGTAATGTTTCTAATAATAATAGTCTTGGTAGAAATACAAATAGACCCTCATCATCATCAAGTACATCAAAATCATCATCATCATCTCACATTATTATGCCTTCAATATATGTAAACAAACAAAGAGTGAAGGCACCTAAACTAAGTATGTTAACAATAGAAGAAATACATACCAGAGTGGATTGTGTTTTGAGTGTTGTAACCAGTGAGAATGAGCGTAGAAGGCAAATTGCTCTTGCTCATAATCCAAATTCCAAACCAACTTTGAAATTTGAAAATTTTGTTGCAGAACTCAAACAATCTCACAGAATCCCAGTGGCATTTGGTACATTGCGTGATATGAGATTTGCTTATATGCTCAAAAAATTGGATAGACAACATTATGAACAAGTACTTGCTTCAAATAAAAGTAATGTGACTGAATTTTATCGAGCTTCTCAAGAGGTTTGTGAGAATCTTTTTTCTGATGAACAATTGGAATCTGCTTTACCTTGGTTGGAACTTAAAGCCAAAATGTATTACAAGTGAAGAATATTTCCAAGGGGGAAAGATATTTTTTGATTAATAAACCATTATCTTTTTGGATAATATTTGTCTTTTAATTAATATTATATAATAATATTGTTGATTAAAACAAATGAATGAAATGAATACAAAAATTAAATATAATTCCTACAGTTTATATTTCATTCATGCATTATATATATTATACATTTTTTATATATTTTTATTATATATATATAATATTGAACAAAAAAATGGACATTTTTTATTTTTTTTCAAAAAAAGTATTATTATTTATATATTATATTAGTTTTTGTAAATATAAAACAAAAAAAAATTTTTTTATTAATGAAGAACATGAATAAAGTATCCATGTTCTTCAAAATATTTCTAATATTAGAAATAAATTATGAAATACTATGTACCAACCAGTTAATAGTAAAGAAAATATATATATAATCAGAAATTATTATTACATATTTTATTTGTCATTATATTAGTTATATCATATGTTATATGGGGCATACTCCAACAAAACCAGACAAAGTGAACATTAGTATAACCAAGAATTTCAGGGATCAAAATTTAGTCATTTGTAATGTGATCATAATTAACAGTTTTATAATGTCTCATTTGTTAAGTTATATATAGAACTATCCCTCTATATAAAAATAATATGAAGCTAATTTACATTAGGTCTACCATGGAACCCAAGAATTACAGCACCGTTAGAAGTACACAGTGAGTCTTGATTTAATGGACCTTGATTTAGCAGATTTAGGGGTTTAACGGATAAATTTTCAAAACCAAATTTTTCTATTATTCAGGTAAAATTCCATGCAAATTCTGTACAGTTTTCCATACATTTCCATGCCAAATTTTTTATAGGGCAAGTGGAGCAGATGCTGACTCACCTTGTTTAGTTACTGAATAAATATGATGTCAATGTTTAAAACAAGAGAGCCACCCATCACTACCTTTAAAATTATTTATATTTATAAGTTTAGCTAGTGCTTGAGCTTTTGTTTTAAGAATATCTACTGAAATTGTAAGATTATGTTTTATAGCCTGATCAAACCAAAGTGCTAGAGCTTCTTCTAATTGTGGTCAATTTGCTTGCCTGTTTTTTTTAAATTGGGAAGTTGTATGAGTTTCATCAATAGAGAGCCATTTATTTGATTCTGATAAAATTCCTGAAACTGTGCTTCAACCAATTTTAAAATCTTTAGCTAAATCATCTTGAGTTAAACTGGGATCATTTTTAGCATGCTTACATAATTCTTTTTTTTGTGAAGCACTCTTTTTTTGGATGAAGATGCAGAGATTGAACTCATTTTTAAAATTATTATCTCTAATTGGGGGTTATAGGATAGATTGTAACAAAAAAAAACCAGGTAGAAAAAAAAACAAAAGCTTAATGTGAAAAAAAAAAAATATGACAATTCATTATCATTACAAAAAACAGGACAATAAATCAACTTCTTTATTGTTTATAACAAGTTGAAACTTGCTACCAACGAAATACTTAATATTATAAACAAACTTTAAACACTTTTCCTAAAATGTATTATAATTAGTTATAAAAGTCACCTTGATGATTAGAATGGTTTGATTGGTTCTCTCATTGTACTGACATTAAAGACTAGTGCCGTAATCCAAAAAAAGGAAAAAGTATGGTTGCAAAAGTGGTCGCAAAGGTAATTGCAACCACTTTTTATATGCTGTAAATACAATTACTAAAATCATCATAATTTACGGCACTAGTCTTTAATTCTCAGGTCACACACAAACTATTACATGTCTTCAAATCATACCACTAGAAAACGTTATTGTCACTGGCTCTAAGGATTGTACATTAAAAGCATGGAGGCTACCTAACCTCAAGGTTGATAAATCATATTATTTTACTAAATCTTCACCACTATCTGATAATAATCAATTTAACAACAATCCATATTTTCTTCATACCTTTTGTGGCCATAATAAATCTGTTAATACTTTGTCATGTTTAAGAAACACTTTAATTAGTGGTAGTGATGATGGTACAATTAGGGTCTGGAACATCATGACTGGAAAATGCATTTGTGTTTGAAGCATTTGCAAAAAGTTTGCTCTGTAATATTAGATGATACAAGAAAAAGGTGTATAAGTAAAAATGCAGATGGTGTGATTAAATTTTGGAACATTGAAGATGGCACTCAACTCCGTACACTTAATTTATCATCTAGATGTATTTATAGTAACATTTTATTAAAATACTTTTGATTTTTTTATATTTGACATAACTGATAAAATACTTTTATATTACTTAAGCACCTCTTCTTTGTTCAAATCCACTTTGGCTTTCAGATGATTATTTAGCTTCTATTACTGCTATCATTGTTATTTTTATAATCAATGCAAATAATTATAAAAAAAAGCATATGTTTGTTAATCCAGGAAAGACAAAGCAATATGTGGTGGGATATGAAATCTGGCAAACACATTTGTGATTTATTAACTGGATTAAGTGTATGGTAATGTATTATTTTCTATTTTAATAAAAAAAAATTTTTTTTTGAGTGAAATTAATACTAACCAATCAATCAATTATAGGCAGGTTAAATTTGATAAACAGAGATGCGTTGCAGCTGTACAACGAAATAATTTGGAAACATGGTTTGAAGTCTTTGATTTTAAAGTATTTGGTATAAAAGAAGATAGAAACACATCCAATGCTTGCTTGTGCAGATGAAAATGGTAACTGGATTCCTAAAATAATAATTGTAGAATAAATTCTATTTGCTATTTGTACTATGATATGATTTTAACACATGATTTGATTTATGGATAAAATATTAATATGTAATTCATCAAATATTAAAATTTTATTGCTATATTTATACTGTGGTAAAGGAAACATTTTTTTAAAATCATGTGATTCAAATTAGTGCTTGTAACAATTAACTTGGCAGTATTTCTATATAAATGAGGTCTTTGGACATCTTTTTTAAAAAATGTTTGATAAACTATTGTCACCGATTAAATTTTGGAGAACGTATTTTAATTGGTATTAACAATTATTTTTATTTTTGCGTGGATCAGAATGAATAGGAATTGATTTTGTTATTAGCGAATAATTTTGTTTAAATAAAATATTTATTTTATTTATTTAGTTTTCTTAGTCGAAACTAATTAACTTGTTATCAAGTTACTT